CAATTAGATTTTGGTAATTGTATATAATTAACTCAAAATGAGCTGTTAATTATAAAAAATATGTTTTTCACTTCCTCATTATCTCATTTATTTTAGTTCCAAATTCTTAATGCCTCACTTGAGTAAGTTTAATATTTTAAATACACAGAGTATCTTTAATACTAAGATAATTTAAATTTCCAAATAAACAAAATTTAGCTTAAAATTAAATTTTATCTAGGGAGTTCTACTGGCAAAATCAAAGAGCCTGCAAGGTAGAAATAAGGTCATTTCCCATTACAGTTCTTGATTATATTTTCTAAAATCAGCAGGCATTTTTGTTTAAATAATTCTACAAAAGCTGCTCAAGGCTGTACACAGTATTCTCCATTGATCCATCTCTACCTCTTTCTGGGCTTAGTGGAGAAAACATTTCCATAACTAACTGAATCCAGGAGAGAAATGAACTTATTGCCTTTACTTCTTTTAATCTCACATTATTAAATAATTTAAGGACTGTTGAGAGAGAATACTTGACTTTCCAATGACTGTCTGTCAGACTTTAGAAACTACTGTCAGAGTTTCTTCTATAATGTATATTAACATTTTAAAAGGTCTATGGCTTTGTTAATGACATATTAGGAAAGTTTCTTTTGTACTTTAGGACACATATGTCCAGATGCACCTAAACTTTTAAAGCATGTCCATCTCTTTTACTGCAACACTAGTTCCCAAAGCATTCACTACACCTACTGAAGAGCAGTAATGAAAATTTTCATAAATTGCAAGTGGGAGAATGAACTGCTACAACCTTTTAAAAAGGAAAACTGTCAATGAACTATTACAGCTTATAGTGATAAATTATATCAAAATTTTCTTATATAAAAATAGGCTTTCACCCAGCAATTTCATTTTTAGTAATTTATCACAAAAAAGTTGAAGAAGTACATCATGCTTATTATAACATTGTGAGTAGTAGGGAACTTAAAACAACTTGAGTGTCCAACAAGAGGGGTTGGATTAGATACACAGAAACCTTGAACTATTATGCATATATATGAAAAGAATTACTATTTGTATAAGTTTTATTTTGCTGACCCAACAAATCACCACAAATGTAGTGGTATCAACAACACGAATTTATTATTCCATAATTCTACAGGTCAAGAATGTGACATGGGTGTCAATGCACTAACATTAAGGTGTTGGCAAGGCAATGTTCTTTAGTGGAGATTCTAGGGGAAGATATGTTCTCTTGCTCATTCAAGTTGTGGAAGAATTCAGTTCCTTGCAGTTGGAGGACTGAGATCTCTATTTCCTTACTGGCTGTCAGCTATGACTAATCCAAGGTTCTAAAGGCTACTGCATTCCTTGAATTGTGACTTCCTTCATCCATTTTTAAATGGAGGCAGGTTGGATCACTGTAGACTTAGAATCTCTCTTCCTTCTGTTTCATCTCTCTGACCCAGCAAGGAAAGGGTATCCAGTTTTCAGAACTCATGTGTCTAGACATGGCCTATCCAGATAATACAGAATAATATGCACATTGCAACATCTGTTCCCTTGTTCATATCTGTTAAGCCCTTTGTCATGTGAGGCAACATATTCACAGGTTCTGGCAATTAGAACACAGATATCTTAGGGGGGAGGTCAATTATTCTGCTTACTATAGTGGCATAACTAAAAACCTAATAAATTACCATTAAGTACTTTTAAGTGAAACAATAAAAGAATAAGTAATGTCTTCAACTGATCTCAAATATATGTAGATAGTGTGTATACATATATATATATATATATATATATATATATATATATATATATACTTTTTAAGCGTAAAAAGTGGTATAGAAAGATACACACTGGGATGCTAACAAGAGCTCAACCAAGACTATCAGTATAGGGAACAGAAGAGAAAATGGAAAGATAACTCATCTTTTCTTGATGTACCTTTGTATTTTTGTAAGAAAAATGTTTTTCTTTTGAAATTTAGAAGATGCTTAAATATAAGGTACAATATGAAGCAAAATGTATAAATAAAAACACATATTCAAATAAAGAAGATTTAGAAGTTATATACTCATGCTATATTTACACAATAAGAATACGGGTATGTGTTATTTTCTTCTTTTGGTTTAACAGCATTTTATACATTTTTTTACCATAAGCAAGCAAACACATACATAAAGACAGAGATAAACATGACTAGCATTATGAATAAGAAAAAGATATTTTAAATTAAAAAACAAATATGAAAAAAGTTCATATACATCAGCTAAAGGAGATTTATAACGTTCCTACATAAAAAATGTGAATCAGGAAATGAAAACTCTGCAAAGTGATGCAAAGGATTAACAAGACATATAGAAAAACATCCATTACAAAAGAACCCTATTTTTTCACCTATTAAATTGCCAAATATTGTTAAATTAGACAAATCAACATTGGAGAACCACGTGGTGGCAGGCAAATAAAGAGGCTAGACAACAAACAAGAAAATGACACATCATGTTAGAAGCCTAGAAAGCAGATATCTGAGTTCAAATTCAATCAGCCAACTAGAAAATTCAAACATGAATATTTACTAGATAGGGCAGAGGAGGGGGTTAGGCTGAGACATGACAGAGAACTTCTGAAAGGTCCAGGGACTGGAGGAGCCAGGTAGGATTGCAGGTGGGACAGAAAGCCTGGCTGGCTGAAAGTTTGCAGAGCAGTAAAATTCCAAGATATTTTTCCTCTATTTCCAGAATCCCAACCTATCTCTCTCCATCTTGAGAGGAATGGAGGTTACTTTTCTGGAGAGGCTGAACTACAGTGACTCCGGTCTAGGGGACATGAAATATAGCTGAAAGCAGAAATACCATGCAGATAAGTGGGGTATAAATTGAAAACCTACATAATGTGTGATGGGTCTTTTTTCTCTCCTTCCACTGGGTCACCCACTTTGACAGTCAGGCATATTTAATGCTCTCATCTCTTCTTCCTACCTGATAGAAGATTTATTCCTAAGGAAACTAGGAGAAAAAGCCTACAAGTACTAATATGCCCTCAGGATTCCCAGTTGATCACTTCAAGTGAAAATCATCAATTGACAAGCTCTGGTCACATACACTGGGAGCTTTTAGTAGCTCTTCATTGCTGTGTTAGTGGCTCTTCATTGCTGTTAGTTGTAGAAAAAAAGAAATTTGAACTTGGTGAAAATAGAGATAGTGTAACAGGAAAAGATGAAACTTCAAAAACTCCTATTAATATTCTTGGAGGTAAGAAAAAATATTGCATAGATAGGACAAGCATAGATTCTTATAAAAATAAATCTGAGAATAACATGTTCTTGGAAATTATAGAGCAAACAAATTTAATAGAAGGGTTGAAAATATAATCTAGGAAATTGTTCAGATTTTTCATTTCTAAATTTTCACTTCTAAAAGAATCTTCTAGAAAAACCTAAAAAAAAAAAAACAAAAAAAAAAAAAAAAAGGGAGACATATGAAAGATAATCCAAGAGAGTCAATATCTGACTAACAGTTCTAGAAAGAAAGAATATTTTAAGAATGAAATGGAGAAAACTGACAAAGGCAATTTCCTGCTTTGAAGAAAGTCTCCCAGCTGAAAAAAATCTGATTATTAAGAATAATGAGTGAAAAAAGGTCCAATTAATGCATACTGGCATTAATTTTAGATCAATACTGAGAGAGAAAAGATTGAAATGGTGCCCATGGGGAACAGGTCATATAAAAAAAGAATCAAACAGCACTAAGGCTTTTCAATGGCAACAGTAGAAACTATAAGATAATGAAACACTGCTCCAGGGAAATAAGAGTTTGGAATTTGAGTTCAGTCTGCTAACACAAAAAATATTAACATTGTCCAGATGACTATAATTGAATTCTAGCGCCATGAGAATAACCAAGATACAACCCAAAATTACCTGATATATAAATAGGAAAAAACACCACTAATACTCAAGAGAAAAGTCAATCAGTGGAGATGAACTTCAAGATGACACAGGTGTTAGACTTAACAGATAGGTATTTTTTAAAGGAAAAATGTGCTTGTAATGAATAAAATTTTTACCTCAGAAGAGAAATAAATAAAACAAAGATCCAAATGGAAATTTTAGAAATGAAAAATCTAGTATCTGATATTTAAGAAACATTGCTGTATGAACTTACCGACAGACTGGAAATAACAGAGGATTTGAAGAACTTGAGGATAAAGTAATAAAATGTTATTAAATGTCAAGAAAAAACATTTAAAAAATTTGCAGTCTGGAATCTATAGGGCATGATCTAAAGGTCAAAAATCATATAGTCACAAAAGAGAATAGAGAAAACATATTTGAGGAAATAAATAAAAAATTCTTCAAATTTCATGCAATGATAAATCTAAAACATGGCTTTAGGAGTACAAATTAATTTACCTTTATGAAAAGCAAATTGACAACGTGATTTAAGAATCTTAAAAGGATTCATATATACTCTGAGCTAATAGTTACACTTCAAGGAATCTAACCAAGGAAAAAGGTAGAGATAAGCAAAAAATTTACTTACAGAAATATTCTTTAAGGCATAATTTATAATAGAAACACCCTGTTTTATAGAAAAACAGGATAGTAGATGCATATTGTGTAATAGCTATCACACAATGTTTGTTGAATGAATCAGTATCTTGTTTTCATAAAATAATTAATGACAAAAAATATTAACAGTGAAAAGAGCAAAACATTAGGCTCTATATAAGCATAATCACTACTATTCAATATTTAGATAAATATATTTAGAATATATTATTATAAAAGAAAGGAAAAAGGGTTCAAGGAATCATCTCAGAAAGATGAGATTACAAATGATTTTTACTTTCTTCTCTACACTTTTCTGTATTTTTCAGATTTTACAGGGAGGACATATTTATTCATATGATCAGAAGCTGAAATCATTGATATAGAATATACATATATGCCAAACAAATCCTTAATATCTGTATCTTGCATATTCTTGCCTATATCCACCCCTCAACTTTACCTTGGTCCAGAGTCACTCCCATTCATATCCAGATTGAGCTCTCTGGGTTTAGTAAATTCTTTATCAGCAACCAGTTCTCTTGATGTAAACGCAGCTTGAGTTCTTAACCTATAAAAATAAATTTACAGAAGTTTTACTCTTGTGGGACCCAATAAACCAAACAGTAACCCTTAGAAGACCATGTTATTCCAGGTAGTCCCCTCACCCCAGCAATTATTTTCAAATTAAAACTCAATCTATCAAAAAGAAATGAATACTTCCTAAATGTACATAAATAAACATGGGTTACTTTCAGAAAAAATTTAAATTTTCTCTACTTTTTGAGGAGTGGGGGAAAAACTGAATTGGTCAAATATCATTTTAAAACTCAGCATTACAGATGATTTAAGGGGTACTTCAGTCTCTTCTCTAGAAATCTAAAAATTCTTTCCATCTACTGTGAAGCAAGTATATTTTGATTACCAAAATTTAAATGGAAATTCTAGTAACACTAGGTATCACTGACCCTGCCCAAAATACCATAGAAGTTTGCTACTTCTCATATATACAGCTCAACAAGCTCTATTTCACTGACCAGCATATTTTCCCTAGGTCATAGAACTTCCCCAAAACAACTGGAAGATTTTCTATCCACCAATGCTACTGTAGCCCCATCTTCAGTTTACTGAGGATGGAAGACACTTGAAGAAATTATCATGAAGCTATTCTACCAGGAGTTTGGGTGGCAAATTAATCATTGGCATCAAATATGTGACCCTTATTCCCCAATCTCAGTTTTTAAAAATGTATTCTTGTTTAATTTGTGAAATGAACTCTGTAAAAATATAGTTTTTTAGCTGTGAAGTAAAACCAACCACGAAAAGGTAAAAAAAAAAGGTTGTTAAAATAGCATTGTTCTTTCCATCATTGTCAAAAGACATTTTTATAATTACAACTAACAATGTACAGTGATATACAAAGAGAGGTATATAGATTAATTACTCACTAGGAACTTAGGGTTTAAAAATACTAGGCAGTGTCTCACAGGTAGGTAAAAGCAGATGTAATTAAGCAATTACGAGAAAAGAGTAAAAAAGAATAGCAATAGCAATAGTAGCAGGTCACAGCAGTCTCTGCAGCAGCAGTGTAACAACGATGATGATGTTGCGGATGATGGCAGCTACCATATACTGAGTGCACTTAACATATACTATCTTCATGGATCTTCCCAGCCACCATTACTATACCTACTTCCAGATGAGGAAAGTAGACACAGACATAAAACTACCAAATTGACACATTTTTAAGTGGTAAAGATAATATTTTGAACACAGTATAAGAGCATATGGCAAGGGTGGCAGGCAAAGGTAAACATTACAATTTGTCTAGATTTTCACACATTATACATATATTCCTTTCCTCCAACAAGGATTTAAAGTGATTCTCTGCACTGTCATGAGTAGCAATTTAGATAAATCCTCTCCGATCAACCTGGAAAGGGTTCAGAGATAATATCCTTTTGAAAGCTCTTATTGACTATCATGCAATATCAAGGTGGCAGAATGAGTTATTAATTACAATTAAAATAAATCTTAATATCATGCCAAGTTTATTTCAAAATGACAGGCTCATCCTCAAATTCTAAATAAATAACAAGTCTGTGGTAGTCATTTGGTATTCAATTACAGATTGCCTTCCCAGTATTTCTCCTGAATATCCTAAACACCATAAATAATGCCTTGTACACAGCATATATTAATTATTTCATCAAATTAATTGAAGTGGGATTCCTTTGAACATTAAAATTGACAAGTTCAATAAAGAGATAAAAAGGCAAATAAAAACAGAGTGAGATTACAAATAAACTGAGAAACACAATCAAGTCTTGCTTATTTTATTATCTTTCCCATAGAGTTTTGTAAAGAGCAAGGTGCCAAGTATATGTTTACTTTGTATATGTTACTTAATACATGTTTACGGAATCATAGACAATTAGGTGCTAATTTTGCATATATTTAATAACATAAAAGAAGTGAGAAAAAGACAGGACTCAAAAGCTTTAGGTACTGGGATTTGAACTGCACTGTGATAGAGTGTGGATAAATAGAAAAGTAAAGTGAACACATTTAAATCAGAAAAAAATAATGTTAATAGGAAGCTTATGAATGGCATATTGAAAAGATCTCAAGGAGACAAACTTGACTGAAAAAAATTAGTTCAGAGGAAAAAGAGAGGCAAATGGGTAGAGAAGTGATTCTAGATTATAAAAAGCTTTTAATATTAGGTTGAAAAACAAAATCTAATAGAAAATCATTTAAGAGTTTTAAAGTTCAGAAGTGGCACAATAAATATGTATTAGGAAGATTCATTTGAGATAGATATTCTTGGTATATGACACTAATGTGCAAAGGTTGAATTTCAAATAATTCATAAATGATAAAGTTACACATGAATAAGTGAATATATCAAAATCTGTGAGATATAGTTAAAATAGTGCTGGAAGGGAAATTGATAGCACTAACTGCTTCTAGGAGAAAGGAAGAAAAGTCTCAAGTCAATAATCTAAGCTCCTATCTGAAGAAACTAGAAAGAAGACAAGCAAGATAAATACAAGTCAAGTTGAAAGAAGAAAATAAAGAAATGAAATGAGGTCAGAATTACCTTGATACTAAAAACAGAAAAATTCCAAAAACTCTACAAACCATTATCTCCCATCAGTATAGATATGACTATTTTTCACAAAATATCAGTACATAGAATTCAATAATATGCAAAAAGACTTACACACTATGACTGAATGTATGTATTCCAGGAATACAAGGTTAGTTCAATATTTAAAAAAAAGTCATTCCAAGTAAATCTACACATGATAAAATGGCACAGAACTATAACATACATTGTATCAATGTAATTTATTGGTTTTGATTTTGTATCACAGTTCCATAAGATGTAGGCATTGGAGGAAAATGGGTGAACAGTACGCTGACCTAAACATTTTTGCAACTTCCTGTCAACCTATAATTATTTAAAAATATAATGTTTATAAAATATAATGCTTAAAAAACCCCTATGGATATATGTATAAATTTCTATGGATATGTATAAATTTCTGCAACTTATAAATATACAACACTTTCTCAAAAGCTGTGTTTCATAGCTCTCATCTAAGCTAGGATAATCAAGATAATAATAAAGACTTCATTATTATTATGCAGAATTATTTAACTATACAGTGCTGTTCAAATTAATATGATACATATTCTAAAAGTACTCATTCTCCTCTAAGACTGTGCCCTTTTTAAAGACTTCATTTTTATATCCCAAGAGCCTAAAATCATTCTTTGCATATCATCGACATTCAATAAATGTTTGTTGAATGAAGTTCTTAGGAGAGAAAAAATATTAACTGAACAATCAGAGATTGGGGTAAAAAAACTGAAGTAACATTTTGGCCTTTGGTGACAATCTTATTGTAAGACGATTCATTTTCAGATATTTAAAAAACTTCCAAGTTTTGACAATGAAGAACAGAACAATGAAAGAAGGCGGAAGATCACTTCAAGTTCCAAGAAAAGTATTACACTGAAGGAAATGTTAAAAGGGAACTTTCAAATAAGTTAGAATCTCAGAAATATTAGGCAGAATCTGTAAGTGAAGAAAATTAGCTCTAAAGAAGTAAAATAAATCAATACTAGTATATATACCAGTAGTATAGTAGATATATCTATATATGCATATCTACACATACGCACATATAGATATCACACACACATATCTGTATAGGATGTATACCTCTAATAAGAATGTGTACAAAGGTGAAACGGTAAATTTGACTAGGGAGGAAATGGCTGTACTCTTACTACTAATTTTGTTTGTATATGCCAAACAAATTATAATACCAAAATAGAAAATCAGCTTTTAGAACACTGTTATTTGGAAAGAATTGTTAGGAGAAGAACAGTCTAAATGTGGATAAATTTGTAAGTATTGGTGATTGAATAGGTTATGCTTTGTGACCAGGAAAGGCTGAATTTAAAGGGCTCTCATCATTTGTGATATTATCGTAGGTAGATATAAATATGGAATGATGACTGCTAATCAGTTTATCACAATTTCATTCCACATCCTGACATTTCAAGTTTTACTTATTCTCTTCAGTGACATCAAATAACAAAGGATTTTGTGTAATGGTATTACCACTTAAAATACTGTCTTGGGAGTCCAGCAAAAATTAATTATATTGGACTTATCAGAAACTAGATATTACCGGCTAACATTCTGGAAAATGAGGTAATCTTTTAAGTCTTCCAAAGAAGACAATGGAATTCACTGAGTAGTTACAGCTGTTGTGCATCTTGAACAAGTCAAGATCCCAAGGAACTCGTCCCTACACATCTATTATGATAACACATACACTGTTCTGCAGGCTACAGACATTGCCGAAAGAATAGGCAGTACTTACCAATTGTAATCCAGGCGAGACTGATGAAGTTGCTGCTGTTTTAGGAGAAGCTTTGTCTCCTGCTGGGCTAGCAGATGCTGAAGGCGTTCCTTTTCAATTTCTAGTTCCAATTTCTGAAGCATAAGTTGCTGTCTTCTATCTTCTGAAAGTTGATTTTTGATGTCAGTTTCTTCACTAGGTTGTAGTGCCCCTTGGTCATGCATCAGAGATGCCCATGAAAGTCCACAATAATTGCATGATTCCAGATGTGTCTTGGAATACTGAGGGGCTATATTTGCAGAATGGCTCTCATGAACATGATCTGCATTTTCAGAAAGTCTGTGACCATAACACTGACTTGATAGAGTATGGTTAAGATATGGACATCCCTTCATTTTCAGGTCCTCTGGTAGAGTCTTCTCTGAAGGGACTGCATCTACTATTTTTTTGCCAGGGGATCCACAATTACATGTTCTGCTCTCTGACAGTACCCTGTTCAGGTCCTCTTTGGGATAATTAAGGACCACTGGTTTCAAAGAATTATTCCTAAACTCCATAAAGGATTCTGAAGCTGACCCCTGGTTTGCAGATTTAGGTCTCTGCTTGGTTTGATAGCTCTGTGGTTTGGCTACACTTATGTAGGAACCTTCTAGTTCCATAGACGAAGACTGAAGAGTACTTTTCTTATTGGATACCTAAAATGGACCAAAAGATCACTTGTCAAATAAGAGCACAACGAAATGAGTTTTTTCTTTTGAGAAATCAATGATTTATGTTTACCAAAATAAGATTGTTGTTTTGTTTTCTTAAATAATAAATGATAGTATTCATACAGCTAAACAGATATGGGACACAAAACTATACCCATTTTCAAGCAATCTACACTTCAGCAAATCCATAGGATGAGAAAAAGAAAGTATTGCTATATGTCAGTTAAGCAAGATGTCAAGAGTTGCAAATAAAAGGCAAAAACTCAGATGTTAATATCTAAAAATGTTTGATTTTGAGTAGTGACCCAAGAAATTCATTCAGTCACCTCAAATAACCTTCGATTGGTCATTATATAGCATGAGATTTGATATAAAACATTTCACCTAATACTGAGTAGGCTGTTAGTTACTGCTAGAAATTTGATGAATTTTTATAAACATATTTATAGCACACAGATAAAACCAAGCATTTTTAACAAAATATGATTCTAATCAAAAGTAGTTATTTAAATACAAAACACATTTAACTTTGGCAATAAATATAAGTGATTTTTCAATTAAGTGGTTCAAGTGATTATAATCTATTAGAACTCAGGCTGAAAGGAAGCAGTTACAAATTACATTTGACAGGCCAACAGAGAGAACTTTCCCAGCATTTTAGCAACAGGCCGATTCTAGTAAGGTGGGAGGAAAAAAAAAAACTTAGTCTAAATCAGTGGTTCTAAAACTTCAGCATGTTTCAGATTCACATGATGGGCTGGTTAAATGTAAATTGCTGGGTTTCAACACCAGAGTTTCCAATCTAGCAGCTCTGGAGCAGAGTCAGAGAATCTGCATTTTAAACAAGTTTCCAGGTGGTGCTGATGCTGTTAATTTGGAACCAAGCTCAGATCCATTGGTGTTATCATGGCATATCTGATATCTCCTGTGTCCCACTTGTTTTGATTACAATGGACTCACTTATTCAGGATAACCTCCTCATTTTTAAATCCTTAATTATTAGTACATCTGTAAAATCTCTTTCATACAAAACCCCTTGGTCATACAAAATGACATTCACAGGTTTCAGGAACTAGGACATCTACATATTTGGGCGCCATTATTCAGTCTACCACAGATTTTTTTAAAATAAGAACAAATTTACAAACAGTTGAGACAGTTCTGTTTTGGATACCTAAAATGAATAAAAAGTTGAGAGCCCCTAAGAGAAGTAGGAATATTTTACCAATTTACTTTGCAATAGTTCATCTTTTCCCCAATGAGTATGGGTAGGACCTATGAATATTATGGGATATTAATCCTGTGATCATGCTGCATTATATCACTAAACGGATTTTATAGATGTAACAAAGGTTTCTAATCAGTTGAGTTTAAATTAATAAAAAGAGAGATTATCTTAGGTGGGCCAGATCTAGTCAGATAAACCCTCTCCAGGTCAGAAACTCTGTTGCTGGCCTTGAAGAAATAAACTATGTTGTGGGAGGGCCAATAAAGAGGGTCAGGTGGCAAGGATCCACGTGGCACCTGAACAAAGGTGCAAGTAAGGCGCTGAGCAAAGGACTCAGAGTTGTGTCACTCATGATCCATATAAACTGAGATAACGTGTGCTATTTTAAATGGGAAAGTTTGTAGTAATTCACTATAAAAAACCAACAGCCCAGTACTCAAGTTGTCTAAGCCTCATGTTCATCATCAGTATAACAGGGATTAAAAACAGCATCTATCTCAAAACTGAATGTGCTGGTGGGACTGATAGGTAGTTATCAAGGATGCCAATTTATAAGGGTGCTGATTAAGAAATGGGAAAAAAATCCCTACATTTACTCAAACTTCTCTCAAGAACAATGTGTGTGTGTATGTGGAGAGAGATAGAAGTAGAGGTAGAGATTGGTGGTGGGGAGAGAGCGGGAAAGAGATAGATGGGGGGTGGTGAGAAACCCAAGGAACAAGTTCAGTGACAACAGATTAAAGTATTTTCCAAAGAGAAAGAGTTCAGTTATTATCTTTGTTTTGCTACAATGAGGTTTGTAAGTTAGCCCAGAGTTGAATCCTTGAGATAATAGAGAAAGACGATAAATTTTCTCCTTCATTAAAAAAGATGGCAGTCTTGCACCAACATTTTTGCACTGCCTCTTAGGGCTGTTGTGATTAGATGAAAATTCATATAAAGTGTTTTGTATAGTCCTAATATAAAGTTAGTATCCAAAAAAGTGTTTCCAATTATTAGTACCCCTACTATTATTATCACCCACTTATCTTCAATAATTCTTTGACAAGTGCCTAAGTCAGGGGCTATGTTGACTCCACTCTTCTGCATAGCAGTGGGCATGCACACAGAACATTCTCAGTAATTATGGACTGACTGTATCAGCTCAGCAGAAAAATTCAATTCATGCATGGGTCACAGTAACTAAAGAAAATTAGAATCCCAGATTAGCCTAATCATATGTTAATAAGGAAGAGGAAGAGGGGAGAAATAGGAAACTCCCTGATAGAGTCTGACTAGAAGAAATTAAGTTATTTTACTGGTGGAATTTAGACAAATATTGCCTCTGGGAGACATGGAAGTCACAATGGGCCTGAATGAAACAGATGTGCTTTTCCTTCTGGAGAGGCTCCATGCATTCTATGTAGTATTTACATATACAACTTCTTTTAACTAAAGCTAAAATTAAGAACAAATTTCAAACTGCTGCCTCTAACATATGGGTCTAAAATGAATTTTTTAGATATACAACATTAATTCAGAAACTAATAGATGTTTTTGAGGCATAATTTATATGTAGTAAAATGCACAGACCTTAAGTGTACAGCTAGATGAAACTTTACATTGCATATTCACATAATTATTACCCAGAAGTTACAGGAGCAGCCCATTACCCCTGAAAGTTTCCTTGTGCCCCTTCTAGTCAATATCACCCCCTCATACTTCCAAGGGGAAACATTATTCTGACTTCTATTACCACAGATTAGTTTTGCCTGTTTTGAACTTCATATGAGTGGAATCGTAAGTTTGTTAATCTTTTGTGCCAGTTTTCTTAAGTTCAACATCATTTTCAGACTCCTCTGTTTTTGCAAGAATCAATAAATAGATTGCTATTTTTTTATTGTTGCATACTACTTCGTTGTATAAATATAACAATATTTGTTTATCCATTCACTTATTGGACTGGGTTGTTTTTAGTTTACAGCTATTAACAGTAAAGCTGCTATGAATATTCCTACACAAGTCTTTTTTTTTTTTTTTTTTAAAGAAATCTGCATTTATTTCTCTTGGGCACTGACTAGGCATGCTTACCTTTATTTTAATCAGTTAATATGTTTTCTAAAGTGGTCATTCTATTTTATATCTGTATCAGCAAAGTAAAAAAAAACAATTTGCTTCACATTTGGTAGTGCAGATGCTTTTGTTTTTAGCTACACAGTAAAATCTTATTGTGGTTTATTTTGTATTTCCCTGATACATAATGATGTGGCAGAAATGCTTATTGGACATTTTTTGTGACATGCTTGTTGAAACCAATACCTTTAAATAATTCAAAATAATTTTTAAGGACCGCAGGTGAGAAATAAAAAAATGAAGGTAAAGGAAAATACCTTTGCGTAAATTATTTCTGATGAGACAACCTGGTTCTAAAAGGTCATCTTCACTGGCCAAAGAATATAGAAAATTTTCCCATAACACCTTGTCATTTTGGCTATTCTTAACTCAGAATTAACTATGTACTACACTAAATGTTTTATATATTAAACCTATAATTCTTAACAATTCTGTAAGGTGGTTCTTATTATTACATTTTACAGATGAGAAAATGAAGCTCATTGAATCTGCAACTTTCTCAACACAGGGGGGCATGTCTCACTTCAAAATTTTAGTCTCCCATTACTCCATGGTGTGATTTTTTTTTTAGAAACTTACTTATTGTGAAATACAATAAACATAGAAAAGTGCACAAAACAAATACGAGCAGCTCAGTGCACAATCACAATGCAATGCTCATTTAACTATCTTGTGAAAAGCAGAACACTGCTATATGCAGAAGACCCTTATGTTCCTTTCCTGTCAAAGAGAATGACTAACCTGACTTTATGGGAATAACTTCTTTAACATTTCCGTGCTTAAATACCTATACCAGAGTTCAGTTTTACCCATTTATTTTTCAAGTATAAATGGAACCATATGATATACATTCTTTACTGTCTGACTTCTTTCATCCACATTATATTTGTGAAGTTTGGAAATGGTAACATATGTGGCTATAAATTTCCATAACTACATAATAGTGGTCAGCAAACTATTTCTGTTAAGGGTTAGTCGATAAATGTTTTAGACTTTACAGTCCCTGTGGAATTTGTCATAACTACTCAGTTCTGCTTTTGAAGTGTAAAAGCAAGGATGGGTCATAAATTAATGACTGTTCCAGTAAAATATTATTTATGGACACTGACATTTAGATTTCATGTAATTCTCTCATATTCTTAGGTCATGAGTTATACAACAATATGCAATGTGCTGAACTTGGCCTGCCATAATTTGCCAACTGAACTTGATGATAACATTGAGGATGCTTCCAATTAAAGGATTCTAGAAATATACTAAGATATGTTCAAAACCCAATAAGCAAATTAAACAATATAACTTGCTATGTGCTATTTACATGTTATCTGTATGGTGAAAAATAAATCAGAAAGCTTAATCAAAAATGAACAGAATGATTTTAGCAGAAAAGAATGCAGAAGAAAATATGCAGGCAAGAAAAAAAATTGTGAATTAAAAAAAAATTTAGAGAGGAACAAGATTTTCAAATCCCAACATATTAAAAGATACTAAAAGTGAGTAAATTTCTAAGCTGGAAGAAGGTTTTCTGAATCTTTGAGATATTCCTTTAAATACGATAGTTTTTAAAAAAGATCAAGCTATCTATATTATAAACAGGCATGATATGATCTTTTTTTTTTTAAAGATTTATTTATTCATTTACACA